CTCCTTCAATTACATAATCATATCCATATATGGCCATTTATAAATTGTCTAATATACAAATTATTTAAAATTTTTTCGCGAGGTAACGGTCTTTTTACGTTATTAGAGAAGTTAACAAAAGAGTTTCAGCCAGATTGCAGGTAATGAAGTCAATATTTGTTAAAATCCGTTAAACAAAATGAAAAAGCGAAATCCAACAAAAAAAAATGAAATGTATTGCTATTTACATCCATTTAGTATCAAATTTAATAATATTTAATGTTTAACAGTATTCAATATTTAATAATACGAGTATGTAATGTATAATAATATGTAATGTATAATAATATGTAATATATAATAATGTGTAATGTATTATAATGTGTAATGTATAATTTGTAATGTTCACACACATAACGAAGAACAACTCAACTTCTCTCTCTCTGTGACTTTACTGCTTCACTCCTCTTACCAATGCACTCTATTCAGGGTTGCCCTGTCGCCGTAATACTATACTTCTATACACAACGTAAATATTTTTTACATCTTATACTGTGTCATATTGTCGGAAAAAATAAAACTTCACTTAATGAAGAACTTAGTTTATAAATTTAGTACAGTCATATTAACTTGGAAAACATGAGCTGCATATCCTTGAAGACTGCATATTCTTTATTGCCTTCTCACGTGTGGGAACATAAAAGAATGCTTCGTAAAAAGATATAAAAAGATGTTGATAGTATTTTAAATTATAAAATTAAATGTAGCATATTTAATGCATTTAACATTACAGTATGATGTCCTGCTTTCAAAAGTATTCACTCAAAACATTAGTATGTGTGTCAGAAGGATAACATTAACAATGAAAGGAGAATATGAACAATGTTGCATGGAAATTGCATAAATGCCCTGTGTTGTTGACAGCACATTCCAAAAAGAGGATGTGAATGTAATTTGCTCAAGGCAAATTTCAAGTATCATTTTTCTTGGGGCTTATATGTATACTTATTCTCATCATATTTGAAGAGCAAAAAAATGATCAATAATAAAACTTTAAACGCTAAATTAATAACAAAGTAAAATTATTTTACTTTAAGTAAATTATGGTAATACTATTATGAATTTATAAATATGGATTTTGTTTTAAGAAACACTATTATGTGTTAATTTAATATATTCTATGGTTTTATATATGTATATAGTTTTTATTTTAAGTATTTTTAAGGCTATACAAACATTGAAAATTATCTTCAAAGTTATGAAGTTAAATCACTTAACAAATAAGCAACGAATGATTTTTAAATGAATACTTTTTATTTATATGATATATCCCAGCGTACATTTTTAATCGCGGAAGAATCGTCCGCGATGCTTTTGCGTGCTTTGTTTCTCGTGGAAGCGTATTTAATTCAAACGCAGACGATGCTTCCGCAATACTTTTGTATGAGAGAGTTGTCCATCGTCCGCGAATCGCTTAGACGAATCGCTTTCTGCTCCCAAAACCATTGCGGAAGACGCGCAAATGTTCGTTAAGCGCGATCATTCTCAATAGTGAGCATTCCACTCAAATTAATGAGTGGTTTTAGTACTGCAACTTAAAACATTGTAAACATTAAAAAATTTTATTTTTTATATTTTTTATAATAATTTTTTATTGTAAAAAGTAAAGTAAAAATATAAAAAAGTAAATAATATAAATTATTAATAAACTATTACAAATCACTTATTGTATTATAAAAATTGCTAAAATATTACAAAACACTTATTCTATTATAAAAAGTAAAAAAGTTAAGTAAAAATATAAAAAAGTAAATAATATAAATTATTAATAAACTATTACAAATCACTTATTGTATTATAAAAAATAAAAAACTTAAGAAAAAATATAAAAAGTATATATAAATTATTAATAAATTATTACAAAACACTTATTGTATTATAAAAAGTATAAAAATTAAGTAAAAATATAAAAAGTATATATAAATTATTTATAAATTAATTCAAATCACTCTCTTGTGATTTCAGTTTTCGCTTCTTATATTTTTTGTTTATTTAATTTTTTATTTATTTTTAATAAATCATTTATAGCCAAATTGCTAATTCTATGGGTAACAGCCCATTGACTCAACTGTTCTCTTACATTTTGAGGTTTCTCATAATTTTTAAAGCTAAAAATCTCCTCGTGATCACTATCGTAGTTAAAAAAGACATTACCGTAGTTATTTTGACAGTCATCACAATCAATAAAAGAATTATTGATATTTGAGAAAATTTCTTCTGGTGTTTGCAAATCTTCATTTCCAATTTGTGGTTTTGTGTTTTTCTTTTGTACACCAAAAATATTATTTATTATCCTAGACGCCTCTCGCTTGTTTGCTTTTTTTGAAGAACTAGCTGACCTCATTCTGTTTACTATTATTTGTTTTGTTATTACAAACAATTTAATAATAAAATAATTACCTGTTGATATACTTTATAATTTAACTTAAATAATTTAATATAAATTGTACTTTCACTGATATTTTTTCACTACACCACTTTACTGCTTTCAAGAGAATGAATTGCAATTACTGCACG